TCTCCATCTCCCCCACCAAGCTGGATCCCGCTTCCCCCAACACCATCCTCCTCTGCACCGCGAGGGGCTTCTACCCTGTGGAGATCAAGGTCCGGTGGCTGAAGAACGGGCGGCCGGAGGAGGAGGGCGTGGCCTTCGGGGAGGAGCTCCAGAACGGAGACTGGACCTACCAGCTCCAGGTGATGCTGGAGACCCAGCCCCAGCAGGGGGACATCTACATCTGCCAGGTGGAGCATGCCAGCCTGGAGGCCCCCATCACTGTCCAGTGGGGTGAGCCCCTCCCCTCCAGCTCCTCCTGGTCTGGGGACCCCATCCTGCCCTGAGAAGGGGGGAGGGATCCTCCCTGTGGGGGGAGGTGGGATGGACCCTCCGGGGGGGGGAAGCTGGCCTTGATGCTCCTGCTCGGGGGGGGGCTCCTTCTCCTTCCCCAGTGCCCCGTTCCTCCAACTCTGCCAAGAGCAAACTCTGGACGGGGATCGTGGCAGCCGTGATCGGGGTGATCTTCTTTGCCATGGGGCTCTCCCTCTACCTGAAGAGCAAGACAGGTGAGTCTGGGGGGCTGGATAAGAGATTGTGGGGAGGGGAGCATCCAGGGAAGGCCTCTCTGCAAGCTTAGCAGATGGCAAGGAGGCTCCCCTGGGAACTTTTCTTGGGAAATTCTGTTCTCTGAGAGTCTACTGTATAAGTGAGCATCCTGCAACCTATTATGGGCTATCAATGGGGAGGGGCTCCCTGAGTCCTCCAGGCCATGAAGGGTCCTGATTGGCTCTTTTTCTCCTTCCAGCAACTCCCATCCAGCCTCCTGCAGGTGAGTTTCTCCCCAAGTTATAGATGTTTCTTTAACATTCCTTAATTGTTCCTTTTTTTAAAAAAAAAATGTGCCTGAACAAAACCTTCTAGCTGTGGATAACATAAATTTTTGAAATTTTGGGCAGCTTTTCCCTTTTCAGAGACCTGAAAACAGTGCAATCAAAAACAAACACACTCATATAAACACTAAAATCTGGCCAATGTTTCCAGGTTTTGGGAAATTGCAAAAGAGAAGGGCACTTCAGGTCCAAAGATCACAAGTCTCCTTGTGATCTTTTTCACAATTTCTGGCAAAGCAACACCCGGCTTTGCTGCCACTCCCCATCCTTTCCCCATCTTCTTTGTTGATATGAAACGTCTGGGGGGGGAGGCCTCCTCTCTTGATTAACCCCCCNCCTGAGTGGTCCTGTGGCCAATGGCCTTGATCTCTGGGAAGGTTGCACTGATGTCCATCTCCCTGGTCTGAGGGCTCCTGGGCAGGGGGTGTTGGGAAGGGTGTCTTCCCCAGGGCCTCTTTGGGCCAGAGCAGAAAGTCCACCCGAAGCCATTCCTGGTGTAGGAGACATTTGCCATCAGGGGGGAGGGAGAGCAGCTGTGCGGGAGAGAGGAAAGATCAAGGGGGCAACTCTGAGTGGAAGGCCCCTCCCTTCTCCCCAGCACCCCCAGATGCCCCTAGATAGCTCTCCCACTGAGCCTTGCCCCCTCCAGAGGTCATCCAGATTGGTTCTGCGGGATTCCCATGGCTTCGATCTCCAAGGGCAGATTTTTTCCCTCCCATTCCTCATCTGGGGCACATGAAGAATAGGTCGGTGGAGGAACTGTCTCAAACACAGAGAAGACTTGGGCTCCTGTCAGTAATACCCCCCCTTGGAAGAGAGCCTGTGGGCACCTGGAAAAGGGACAACACCAAGTGTACCAATTGCAGGGAAAAAAATCAGACCAGACTTCCTTAAGATAAACAAAGACCTGTGTTGGTGATTGAGGATTCATTGCTCAGAGGAACTGAACCAGCAATTTGTAGAATGGACAGTCAAACTGTTTCCCAGGAACAACTATCAAAGATGTGAGTGAGAGGCTTACTAAAAATAATCCACAGATTATTATTCCTTTCTCCTCTTCCAATATTTGAGGGGCTTCCCCAAAGAAGAGGGAGCCAAGCTATTCTCCAAAGCCCCTGAAGGCAGACTGAGAAGCAACGGATGGAAATTTATTAAGGAGAGATCTGGATTTAAGGAGCAATTTCCTAACAGTGAGAACAATTAATCAGTGGAACTGCGTGCCTCCAGAAGTTGTGATTGCTTCATCAGTGGAGGCTTTTAAGAAGAGACTGGAAAGCCATTTGTCTGAAGTGGCATAGGGTCTCCTGCATGGTTAAGGGGCTGGACTAGAGGACCTCCAATGTCCCTTCCAGCTCTATTATTCTGTTATTCTGTTACATTTTTACACAGCAGATTCTGGATGCTCCCCATTTGGGGTGTCTCCCCTGGGCACTGAAATCAAATGTGGAGAAACGACGTGTCAGGCTTGGCTCTCAGTTAATTGCAGGTTAGAACCTATTGTGAATTCTCCCTTTCCCAAACTATTCCTAGCTAATTCGAATTCCCCTTAATTAAATTGATTTCACTGGGATCAGTGCTTTTTCCCCATTCCTGCCCCTGGGACGGTAAGGAAGTGGGGGGGGGGGAGAAATTCCCAGAAGGGATTCCCCTTTTCTTCCCCAGGGCTCTGGGGAGGGTAGAGAG